TAAACAAATGTATGTAGCCAAGTGAAACTCTTTTGTAGTTCAGGTTTGGAATAATCACTGCCAATTTGTAACTTCTAGCCATATGTTGTCTTTTTGCAACACAGAGGCAAATTAAACTGAATTACTAATACTAGTTTTTTGTTATTAGTAATTCTTATTTTTCCATAGGTTTAACCTGCACCAAATGATTTAAAGTAACAATTGGAAAATCAGTCCATCTTTTTTTTTATCAAGCATTTTTCAGAAAAGACTATGGCTATATATTGTTTTCTTATTAGATTGTAGCAGTTGCTTGAAATTGATTTTTAAAGATAACTTTAAAGCCAATAGGCCTTGAAAAACTGTTATAAACATCTTTGGTATTTTTTTTAACTGTAAGAGAAGTAAATAATTAAAAGTCATTAAATCATAAATGCAACATTATTTACACAAGTCGAACAGTATCATTTGATGATTATGTAGGTCCTCAGATTGTGGGAAACGTAATACATATTTTGAAGGAAGAGAAGAACTTGCAGAGTGGCACTGAAAATGGTGCATTCTACAAGATGAGAGTGTTACCCATAGTGAATTGGAGCAAAAGCATGAGGAAAATATTTTCAGGAATTAGCCAGACAATCACCATGCTTTATCAACGGTTGATGGGCAAAAGTTCCAAGAGGTCACCCTGGAAACAAGCACAGGACCTTGCCTTTGGGGCACCCTGAATGCAGAACCTTTGGAATATCTTACGTAGCGAAAAAGGAACTGCAAAAGGTTTTGGTGAGGACACAGAGCAGGTGACATCATCAGACTTTGCATTCATCAAATTGGTGTAGCATCTCTATGTTTGTCTGAAAATGTATACTACACTAGAAGAAAAAATAATAATTAGCCATTTCTTTCAATAAATCTGCCATGAACAAATAAAGGCCTCATCTAGTCCTGGCAAAGTGGCTCTGTTGATTAAAAATAAAGCAGAACTCTGAGCAATCTGACACTGGTGAGACAGATGGCACATTTTATTATTTTTAAATGTATTAAAGTCACAGTATATATTAGGTAGGTGATGATCTGCAACTGCAGTTCAGAAAAGGAATGTGAAATAGAGGTGTATATTCAGAAACATGCCTAAAAGATGTGCTTATTGTACATATAAAGTACAAATTTTTAAAAGAGACAAGAGGGACAATTCACCTCTGGAATTTATCTTACAATTTAAAGGAGACTCTAGAAAAAGACAAGGAAAAAATGAGTAAAGATTTCTAAGTATTGACAGGAAGCAGAAACAGAACTATGTCAAGGAAAGAAATTTCTACAATTAGAATATATTTTTTAGACACCATAGGAAGTTAATAAAGGATGAAAGCTAAGAAGTCACTAGATTTCGTGGTTAACTTGTGATTGGACCCACATGGAAGAATGAAAGAATATAAAAGAATTGTAATTAAGAATGTGGGCAGAGGGGCTGGGGGTTTAGCTCAGCGGCATAAGTGCCTGCCTTGAAAGCAGGCAGTCGTGAGTTCGATCCCTGGTACCGATAAAAATGAAAAAGACAAAAAAAAAAAAAAAAAAAAAGAATGTGGGCAGAGAAACCACTAAATTGTGCCAATAAAGTTCCCAATTTTTTTCACCTCCTACACTGTTCTGTTAGTTGCAGTAATGTTATTATCTCATTCCATATGGTATTGGATGGACACAGATTAGAGGAAACAAAATTACTGCCAGAAACAAGTTTCTTCTTCCAAGAAAGGCATATGTTCATGAGAACAAACCTAACAAAAATATAGGTAAGACCAAGCGATCCCCAGTGCCTGGAATCTTTACATAATGAATTAAATATCTCAGTTTTGTAGGTATTTCAAATAGGCAATTGTTAAGAAAACTGGAACCTCAATTGGATACAGAATTGTATTATGGAGGAAATACATTTTTACAATAGGATTACACCTTAATTCTGTACTAGAAGCAAAACATAGAGATACCTAGTACTTTTGGTGAACCACAACAATCCAAAGAAATACTAGAAACTGGATAACAAGAATATTACAGTCCTTCATATCTCCAAACCTGCATTAAATAAAGTGAGATATCTCCAAACCTGCATTAAATAGAGACAACTGAAGTATTAAATGAAGCATTATTTTTATTTCTTGCCTCTCAATTATGAGTATTAAAAGTTTCAAACTGTTTAATAAATTCATTCATATGCAAACATTTCACTGAACATCTATATGCTAGGAACTGTATATTTCACTGTTGTAAGAGAAAGCAAAAGCATAATCTATAGCACTCAAGTAACTTATCATCTAGCTGACTCAGACACTTCTTAACGTTTTTAAATGAATAAGAAACCATAAATTTCAAAAGCATGAACACAATAATAACAGTTAATTTCCAAGGATAACTGGGGCCTCTTTTAAGGTGGACCCACAGGGAAAATGAAATAATAAAAGGAATTATAATTAAGAGTATGGACATAGAGGCAGTGAGATACAGTGAACACCAGATAGTCCAATAGAAGCTTGGGAGGCCAATTATAGGATGAAAGAAAGCAATACACCTCCTTAAGGTGATTGGTAGTATATGCAAAGAATTAATAATGAAAGAAAATAGTAATTTTAAAGTATTTGCTATGCATAATACTTTTTGATGTTTTATTTTATTTATTACAAACACAAGGGGAAGTAGATGCCAATATGATTGTCTTTACTGTGGAAAAAACTAAAAAACGGGGAGCTTAAATAACTCATTCAATGTCATACAACTAGTAAAAGCAACACTTGAACCAGACTCGTGTATGAGTTTCAGAACCATATCTCCAAACTATTGAGTGCTGTATTCACAGTTTCAGCAGGTGGATATTTCTAGACATTGAAACTCAAATCCAAAGTTTAACTTCCTTTAGAGCAGTAAATGTTCTATTTAATCTCTCAAACTAAAGTATCATGTGAACATAAATAGCTAATAAAAAAGTTTTCAGTATTGAGTATTAAAGTAAAGTTACAGTTCACATCAATGAATTTAGGAAATGTATCTCAGAAATGTTTGTAGAGATAGTCTGACAGAAAGAAATCACTAAGAACCAAGACCACACACCCTGACCAATGAGTTTGTTCAATGTAACTTCAAGCTTATTTAACACAACATTAACACAGCATTTGTGATACAACATCATTTCATGAAGAAATGTTGCTTTTCCACAGAATGTAAAAGCCATGCTTTTATATTCTCTAAGTATGCCCACAAAAGCCTGCTTTTAGGGTAAACTGAGCTGAGGTTAGGTTTTGGAAACAAAAATATTGTCAAGGTGGTACTAAGATTAATTTGGAGCATAAACAAGATGTTTTAGAGTGACGAATCTTGATATTGGAAAATTAACAATGAATTTAAGACTGAAGAAGTACTAAAGCAGTAGCATAGAGGCAAGAGAAAAGATAGTGATGGAATTTGGAAATTTGATGGGTGGGTTGGGGAAGGCGTGATAGATGCTTGATTCAATCATTTCTCATCTTGATTCAATCATTTCTTATCTTGATTTACTATTTAGGAGATTGTTTGGTGTGATGTAAAATGCACTCTAGTGAAACATGAAATGAGATTTGCAGATTGGTATTCAGGTTGATATTCATAATTAGAGTTTGGAAGAAACTTGACAGCTAGCACAGGGACTTAGAGGTCCTAATTAAATGCCAAAAACAAAATGAAAACCAAAAACTAGAGTGAAAAAGTAGAAAGAAGGCTGCCGTGAGAATCACATTATAGTTACTAAATGACGGCTTTTCTTAGGATTTATCCTGCTTAATTTTCCAATCAATTCTTCAGTTATTTGATGCCACCTAAAATACTAAGTGTTCTCTGCTCCTCTCGGCCTCCCTCTGTGGCTGTCTTTGCACACCTGCAATCGCCCCGCTTCACATATACATCGTGACCACTGGCACCTTCTGTAGCTATCTGCTGCTACTACAAATCATTTTTACTCTTGGTCCAAGTATGAACAAATACATGCGTTTTTTAGTTTTACTGGAACTAGATCTAACATTAAAGAAAAAGAAGAAAATCAATAAAAATAAAGAACCAGACAATTCTACTTAGCTAGAAGAAGAAAATAGTGAAGAGGAAAGAAGATCGATCCTTGGCTTACCAGATTGCAAACCAGTTCACAGAGGTCATCCACCAACATGTGTGGAAGAAGAACAGTGACCTAGTAGCCTTGTACAGTGCTGTCTCAATCTTGCTGCTTTCTTATCTGAAAATCTGTGTGGCTTAAAAAGTAAATGGAGAATTAAGACTAAGATAATGGAAGATTGGAGGCGACTGGATGTTGACAGGCTTAGACTGGTCTTCTGGAACTGTCTTGACAGATTACTGCAGACTAGGTGGCTTATAACACGTGTTTATTTCTCACACTGAAGGCTAAGAAACTCCAAATCAAGGTTTGCTCTTGCATATAAGGTGAGGGGCACACTTTGGCTCATTTCTGGCACACCATGGATGGAGTTAAGTATCTGTCAGCTCTACCTCTGTAACCTAATCAAGCCCTCTTCCCAGAAAGTCCACTTTCAAGAATCTCCATCTTTGTGGCTAGGAGATAGTCATAGGAATTTTGGAGTAACACAAGTATGCAAAACCACAGCAGTCTCCTACCTGCCTGTTTTCTCGACCTCACATATGAGAATGTTTAAAAACAAATTTTCTAAGTGTTATAAAACATTATGTGATCTTAATTGTTGTCTGCATTTCATTAAAATATTTTATTGTGTTTCTTATCCTATATCATCTGTTATAAAGAATAAAAAATGTTTAAGTTTTGAAAGTATTAATCGAAACTAGTTTCAATTGAGGAAAGTTGTTGAAAATTAGAAGAATATTTCAAACAATTTTAAATGAAAAAATTACATATGTATACCTCAGGATATATTGAAAATGTCTTTTTGCATACATGTTAAGCAAATATGTCTAGGCAAAAATGCATAAAATAGAGAATGCTCACCAATCTTTTTACCTCAAATTTCTAACAGAAAGAACGAGAGAGAGGTTCTAATTTAGCTTTTATGTTTCGACTGCCTTTCGCTGCTGGAAGAGTGTTTAGCATCAGTATGTTGGACACACTTCTATACCAGGTGGGCGATAGTTATTTTTCTGTTTCTCTCTTTTATTGTCTTTTAGAAATGGTTACTTTTATTTCATTTATATTGTATTTAATAAATAATCCTAGCATTTAAACTGTTGATTTGATTCTGGAAGCAATTCAGTATTTCATGTATATAATAACAAAAATGTTATGAACTATTCTATAAAGACATCATTTAAAAATAATTTTCAGATATTCTTTAGGCATTCATTGGTCTCTATGATGCCTATTGAGACATTGTAATACATTTTGCATATTACTCCAAGAATTTTTCTAGTTTTTAAAAAACAGGTAACAAAACAGGTAAGTTAAAAAAATGAAAAATAACATTCCTCCCAGTATAAATTTTTTTAGACTTGAAATAAGTTTCCAAATCGATATTCAATAAAGTAATAAACTAAAGGCATTTTTTAATCTTCATGATCATTGCATAATTTAGTAAAATATAAAATCTTTTTACAAGAATGAATCATTGTTTTTTCCTGAATGCCACGTTGACACTGCCCTTTTATTTCTCACAAGCATAATCTTTTATTTGTTTCTGTCAATAACTGAAGACCAGTAATATTTCACACTCTCTGATTAAAGTAATTAGACAGTCTGTAAATATTTCCATTAAAATAAAAATGATATTCAGATGGATTTAAATTCTTTTATAACAGTGATCTTAAATTAAACACAACATTTTTTTTTAGCATCTACTCTTTTTCATCATATATTTATACTCTTCACCGTTGCTTGACTGAATAAACTAATCCAAACATAGTTCAAGATTTTCTGTGGGCTTTTAGACTAATTTTGCCAATGATTAAGCCTCTAGCAATGTCAGGAAGCATCTGCTTATGCCACATGAGCACCAGACCAAACACAACAGAGGAGAATAAGCACTCCCATTTTCCCTAAAGTTTGCAGGCACATTATCTGGGTATTCCAGGAGGAAGCGCTCCCACCCCAAACATCACTAACACACATACATGCTTCTAGTATCTTAAAGTCAGAAAACTGTTTTGTAGAATTGGGAAGATTTACTTCCTTTTCATTTCCCCCTCATATGTCATATTATAAAATAGGGATATGCTAATTTAGTTGGTTTTTAAGCTTCTACAGATATAGTAAGTTAGAACTATGGCTTTTAAAGTTTTTGGATAATTAATAGAATAAGCATTACATTTTCCATTCCAATCTAAAACATACTTGCATGTTTGCATGTACAAATATATAAATGAAAAAGAAAAAAAATCAATATAAAATGCTTATAATCTTCCATATTATATGTTAGTGAAGCATATTTGGTTTCATTTAAAAATTTGCTGATCACAACTTATAATTTCATTATATGGCTTGTTTAAAAGACATTTAAATAGAGAATTTAAGATTTGGTAAGATCTAGAAGATAATTTCTGCTTAGGAGGTTGTTTGAAAGATAATTAATGGCTCTTGTACTATTGGGAATTATTTTACTTCATACTTGTAGTGATTTCATATTGATAAAATAGTCTGTGTCTATTATAAAGACTTGGCTGTCATTTTCAAATTTTCCAGTAGGTAAGATAGACTATCATGTCAGGTCAGTGTGGTGATTTAAATTTAAAAGGCTTCATGTTTGCATACAGTGATTTGGAAAAAAATATATTTGTAATAATTAATAGTAAAAATAGTTTAGTTGTTTACTACCATAGAATTTAATCTCAAGAAAAAATTTCTTCACAAAGTTAATTTGATTCTTTTATAATTCCCATTTCACTTTGTAGTTTTTGTTATTAAAATATTTTAAGTGTTTTTATCATGGTTAAGGTACATGTAAAATTGAAGTATTTTGAGATATTTCTGAGTAACCATTATTTCCTAGATTTCCTTACAAACAGCTTAACTACACATGTTTAAAATATTGACAGGATAGACTTTTATTGTCCTTCTTGTGGGAGCTTAATAATGTGTTTCTAAAAATAATCTTTTAAAAGTACTTAGATGTTCACATTCGTGACTATTCAATTTCATATATATGACAAATCCATATTGCACTTATATTGCAGTCATTTGTGAAGGATTATATGATTTCTATCACCAGACTTCTGTTGGGACTGGACACAATACCAGGATCGGGGTTTCTTTGTTCTGTAAGTTAATAATTTCTGAGTAGAAGATTGCTCTGATAGGGTGCTAAAAATTTATCTCCCATGTGTTTTGGTTGATGCTTCTATAATCACATATTGCTTTTCTCAGTGTTTATCTAACTAGCTACATCTGAGATTTTGTAATTGTTGAATAAGTTTTCAAGAAAAATATACTATTTTAATCAATAATCATAGCAAATGACCATTTTTTACAAAATTCAGAGCAAGCGTTCTCTTTTTCCACTTAACAACTTGAGGCTGACAGATTCAGAGTTAGGATAACATACTGCCTAGACAAACATTGTTCATAGAGTTTAATCACTTTGATTTTTGTTTTTCTGAGATGTAGTACTGCTATGTGTCCCCGGTTGGCCTTTAACTCCTGGGCTTGAGAGTCTTTGCTGACTCAGCATCTCAAGTTACTGGCGCTAGGCATGTGCCACCATACACAATTTAACTCCTTTTTTCTACAAGCATACACTATATCCAGATGTACTGGATGATTTGCTAACAGATATACAAAGAACAATGAATTCTAATTGCCTTCGTTCATTCTGTTATACATTTCTTTCAATATGAATGTTATTAGAAAATAAGGTAAAACATTTTTTTGTGTATTGGATTGTCTTTTTTTTTTCTCTCTTTTTTAAAAAACTTTTTTATTGGTACCAAGGATCAAACTCAGGACCGCCTGCTTGCAAGGCAGGTGCTTATGCCGCTGAGCTAAATCCCCAGCCCCAATGGATTGTCTTTTGTGGTCTTTATTGCTTAGCAATACCACAGTGCCCTTTAGGTACAAGTAGAAGCTTCTGTTATTGCATTTATAAATGTCTCCATGTGTTTTAGAATACCTTCCTATTAATGACTTTTGTCCTTTTATTTACTGATTTGGACTAATGTAATTTCATGTTGTCCAAAACTAAATATTTACATGTGTTAAACATTGGTGAACTCCAAGTATAATTTGAGGTAAAATACAATAATATGTGCATAAGCAGTTATTCTTGAAATTCTAAATTATTAGTAAATTCTGCCTTTAAGTAGTAAAAAATAACCATTGTTTTTATTTCTTAAACGTTTGTAGTGCAGATAATCCTTCTATATTACAGATGAAAATCACTGAGGATGACTTATGGATCAGAACATATGCCAGACTTTATCAGAAGTTGTGTTCTTCTACTGGAGATGTTCCCATTGGAATCTACAGAACTGAGTCTCAGAAACTTACTACATCTGAGGTATGGAAATATTGATGTGCTCATATTTTGGAATTTCCTCTGATGAACTTGGAAACTGATTTCTGGAAGATGCTATAGGAAGAGAATATAGTGCTATCTAAATACACAGTGTTAATTTTCAAAAACTGAAAGCTTCTCAACTGTCCATTAAACTGTGTCAAAACTTCACAAAATATTATTGGTTATAGGTTTACATAGTTAATGGACATTGGTCTCTGGAAGCTTTTAATAGATTTAGGCTTAGCCATTTTTAGAATCTTGTCAATCATCAAATGAATTCTAAATAATCTTGAGGTTCTGCCGTATAAAACAATTCTCAAAGCAATTTGGACTTCTAATTCATTCTCCCATTATATTGTGTATTTGTAAGCAATCAAAACAAGAGTTATTCATTGTTAAATTCATAATTCTCAAGCTCTTCACTGACAACTCTAAATCAAAAAGAAAATGGTAGAGAAGTGTCCAGCCTTCCAGAGGAACCCTCATTAATTTTAATGGAAAATTAGAGCCTATGAATATGGAAGAGAGAATTTGGGATAATAGCAGTTAACTCATGTCCAAGTTTTGCTTTGGTTACATCGTGTGTTCAACATAGTCTTTATGTATGATATCACCTTTGAAATTAGGTTCTTTTATGAAATAAAATTTTAGATAGATATACTATGTTATCAAAATTTATAATGTCATTTTCTCTAAATGATGGTTTATGTTTTTAAGATATTTTCTTCTTAAGATGCCACATTTATTATGAATAACAAAGAAATTTTGTTTAACCACTACATCATTATGACAAAATCACGTGAACTGTGAAGCTTAAGTTTGTTGTGTATTTCAGGAGGCCTTATAATTATTTCACCATTTCATGATAAAATTCTATGAATTAATCTATAGAAAAAAGAGCTTTACAGTAAAGTTAATGCGATAGATTTTGGCTTCCCTGTGAAAATTAGTAATTTAACATTTATACAGGTAGCTGTTGTGGCCAGCAGGGAATATTTTAATTTTTCTGAGGAGTTTTTTGGTGGTTTCATTGCAGCTTCTGAGATGGTAAGCAGAGCTTTGATGCTATTTCTCTTGCTGAGTTCAAGTTTTTCTTTGGGCATGATCCCTATGGTTTATACTACAAATGGCAATCTTATCAGAGAAAATCCGAAGGGAATGACCTGATAATTAATATGTAAGATGGTTTGGCAGATATGTCTGCATTTTTAAGAATATTGGATTCCACCATTATTTAATCATAAGTTAAGAGAAGATAAAAGCATTTACAGCTAAGCAATTAAGCATTATTGATCTATTGTGTTTTCTATAAGAAAATTATATGAACTCAGTGGCTTAGAAAGAATAAAAATTTAGTTCTTAGAGTTTTAGGGGCTGGAAAGTACAAGATGAACTGGTGAGATCTGCTGATTCTTAGGTCAGCCTATCACTGAATTTTCACATGACAGAAGGAACCAGACAGGGGTCTTTTTCTAGGATGACCTCTTGACCTAATGACCCTCTCAAAGCCCCACCTCCGGATACCATTACAATATGGATTGAACATATAATTTTTTCATCATTGATTGGGGGCATAGACTTTCAGTTTATATTAACTACGTTTTATTTGTCAATGGTGAGCACAGAAATTTCAATACAGAATTTTCTTGTATTCTCATATATAGTTTTAATGAATTGAATATAGTAAAATCTGCCCATGTTCAAGTCAATGTTCATGTCAATAGTTTAATATTATTAAAATATTGTATTATGTTTATGGAAACTATAGACATCAGGAGAATGATAGTTGAATATCTACATTGTTATCACGGAGTATTTAACTTTACATTTAAATTAAAACTTTGGTCCTCTGCTTATTATGATGAAGATATCCCAAATAAAATGACCATAAATTCCCAAACCACAAGCATATAAAAACAAAACAAACAAACAAACAAAAATCAAAGTGAAAGCAAACAGAAAAAACACATATAACTCAGAAATTGAAAGGAAACTAACTTAAATATAATACTTTCTAATTTTTTGTATTTTATTCATCATTTGACAACATAATTTTAAAATTTTATGTTTAGCTATTTAAAAAAAAACAAGTAACAAATAAAGATGAAAATGTAAGACTTCAAACATTTTACCAGCAAAATATAAAGGCAGGGAAATTAATGTAACTCTACGTTCAAAATTCACTGACTGCTACAGGTTAGCCTGAATTCTAATTTTATGTACAGGGCAAACAAAACAAAAATAACAATCTGCTGAATTATATAGTAACTGTTTTCTAATACATAGAAGAATATAAGTGTGTCCTGTAAGACATTTGTTCTTCCTGGTCATTTATTAAATGACAAATATATGAGATTTTTAGCTCTGATGAACAGCATCAGCCATCAATCCTAGTTTCACAAGATGCAGAAGTATCATAAATAATTCCTTAGATAAATATTATATTTTTAAAATAGAAAAAAGAAATATACACAACAGAAAAAGAGAACATCAATAAAATCTTAATCCAATAAAGATGCTGACTTTTGTTTGAAGATAAAATATTCTATTCTTTCAGAGTGAGAACTAAATATCCTACCATCTTTCTTAAATACAGGTGGTTCAAAAAAAAATCCAGTTTTGAAATTCAAATAGCATACCACTTCCTCAATGCCAGTTTTATTTTACTTGTATTAAAAACAAATACCAGAATTTAGGTGGCAAAAACTTCATTCCATAATTAGAATTGGTGAGTCAGATATAGTTTTGCTTAGGTATCTATCTGATTCTTTTTGTCCTGCATAGTTTAAAAGCTGTCTAATGTCTCTTTAAATTTTGAGAGTTAATTCCAAAATGGTAACCAACTGGGAGACATTGGAAACAGCTGACAGATATAACTACAACACTGACTATATTCTGCACAACAAGATACATTCTGTACATTTTACCCTTCTGCAGGAAATTAGAAGTCTTTCCTAAAAATTCTACCCAAACCAAGAAGAAAGACCTAAAAATAATCTGCAAGACTATTAAAAGCCCCAAGCCTCTAATTTTCTAACCCAGTCTGTCTAGTACATAGTCTAATATATAAAAAGCACATAAGTTCATCTGTTAAATATTTGTTTTTCCTAGTCATTTATTGAAATGAGTTTTTAGAATCCATCAACCTCCTATTTTCTTATCCTCATAAATCCATAACAAAGATCTGTCTCATGACCCTCAATTTATTAGTTCCTTATCTTACGGAACTATATGAAAACAATTGAAACTTTCCTACTATCTCAGGAAATCTTTGATATGAAATATATGATTCCCAAATAAAGAATTGAGAAGAAAAAGTATTTATAAGAAACATAATTGCTGGGGGAAAGAAAATTTTAAAACACATCCACATGAACTCCTAGGTCTTTTCCTTCTTTTCCTCAAAAAGGTGAATATATATATATATATATATATATATATATATATATTTGCTAGTAATAGTTTGAAGTTGGAAACACCCTGATGTCCTTTAATTTGTGAGCTGATGGACAAAGTTGTGTGACTGTATTTATAAAGGAATGCTGCTCATCAACAGAAATCCACTGCTTATATGTGCTGGAACATGGATGAACCTAAAAATTTTATACCAAAGGACACAATAGACCACATATTATTTGATTTAATTCAGAAAGAGCAACTATATAGAGATCAATGGCAAATTGGTGATTGTGTAAGGAAGAGGCAGTTGGGGAAATGGAGATTAACTTTTAATGGCTATGTGAACACTATCCAGATGAACAGAATAGTCTCAAATTGATTTACATTTGTGGTTTGCATGATTTGTTATGTTGACTAAAATAATCTCTAATTTAACCCTTGGAATTGATGAAGTATACAATATGTCAAATATATTTCAGTTAGGTTATATAATAAAAATCATAATTAATATTGTTAATTGTATTAAATAGTACAAGAATGAAAATTAGCAGGGAAATGTAGTAGGTAGAAAACCTAATATTAAAAAGTATAATAGCAGAAGTGAAAAAGCTTACTACATAAAGCTGAGAAAATTACAAATTAAGTAAAGTAAGAACTCAAAACATAGAAAATAGAGTCGTATAACACACTTAGAGGATCTAAAATCTCAGTCTTAACATCTCCAGCAAGAGGAAATGAGATGAAATTGAAGAAACAATCACCGTCATAATTCCAGAATAGTTTCTGTCTTAAATACTTTCATGTAACTGAGACGAAATACTTGATGGATTCTAAACCCACAAGTTAAAGGAGGAGAGGTTTATTTTGGCTCAAGATCCTAGAGATTTCAGTCCAGTCATCTGGCTCCAAGGAAGGAAAACATGACAGAGAGGAAGCCACGCAGGTTCTGGGGCAGAGGAAGGAGAAGAAGTGAAGGGAGGAGCAAAAGAGGGGAGATTAAACCCCCTTCCAGGCTATGTCCCCAAGGACCCACCTTTCAGTAGAAGGGCACCTGTAAACTCTACAATCCATCACTTTCCACAAGCTCTAGCTCTCATCTAATCAGGCTTTGGGTGGACATGCTGCTATCAACCAAAACTGCTTGCAAATGGTTGCACTGCTAACCTCTAACAGTGTAACAGTGGATTAACATAGACTCATATAAGAGCACAGCATCATAAAATTTCAGAGCATCGAAGGAAAGGCGAAGATCTTAAAAGCCTCCAGAGAAATGAGACTGGAGACTGGAGACAGGTCAGATTCAAAATTACCATGTGAGCATTACAACTGCACTACTACTGTCAGCCAAAAGAAAATAGAGAAATACACTCCAAATTCAAACGGGTTAGGACAAGTTAGGATTTTAAAAAGATTCCACACTCAACCAAAGCTATCGAAGTTATTTAAGAGTAGAAGAAATCATACAGTAAATATGAATAGTCTCCAGCATAGTTGACGGATAGCACAAAGAAAATTCACCAGACACACACTGAATAGAGCAGAGTGAATGCAGTGTGTGGAAAGCAGGGGCCAGAGACAGCTCTTCCTAACAGTCATATATG